GCGATATGCTCACTCTGTAAACCGCTTAGAGAGGGCTGAAAGCCCTATGAAGCGGTATATAAGTCTAACTGCTATTGCTATTGCTATAGCAACCTAGACTTTCTTAGCTGAGATAGACCAAGAGCCATCCTGGGAGAAGGCAGGTTCTTGGGTTCTGCTCTCGTTCAAGGGATTAGGGAACATTTAGCTTCAAAAAGAGAATGGGCGGGCTCAGAAAGAGCTGGTGTGTGACTGACACTCCGTAGCTTCTGTGTGTCTTGGTGGGATTGTGAGAAACCAGGGGTCGGGACAGGGACATTCCTTGCCAGCGATGGCAATAGGCCAAGGGGCACGTTAGAGGAGGAAGCTGGACTGTTAGAGCAGGAGTTTCCAAACTTGGCAACTTTCTGGCTTATGGACTTCAACTCCTAGAATTCCTCAGCCATCTATGTTGAAGTCCACAAGTCTTAAAGTGGCCACGTTCGGAGACTCCGGTGTTAAGACAAGGAATTCCAGGGACGGTGGGAATGCAATGCTACAGGATGGCCTTGGAGGGCAGGGATTGGACCAAGTGGCATAATTACAGGTTTGGGAGTGGGCAGGACTGGAGATCGATGGGTCCAAAGCCCTCCAGTGGCCTCTGTGATTGGGTTGCAACCTGTGTCTTTCTGTCCAAAGTCCACACGTGTCATTGGCTTTTGAAAGCCAAGCATGTAGGAAAGTAGATTGGACCATGGAAGAAGGTCAGAGAAGACCCGTTTCTACCGGCTAACAAGGGATGGCACCCGGAACATATGTTGCACATGACATGTGTCCATATTTTCCACCATCCAATGGTGATGAGTAGAAGACCTGGAGGTTTCTGATTACAGGGACACATTCTATGCCCAAAAAGATCTGATTCCCAGGTGGAATCTTGACCCCAGGTTTCTGCCACGATCCCCATGAGCTTTTGACCCAGCCTTAAGCTTCATAAAACCAAGCAGAGGGGAACCGAAAAGTATTTAGAATAATACATGGCCTCAGCTTGTCCCCTATTTGTCTGTGCAACGGCGTAAGCATTGGCTTCCTTGGGACTGTGCATTGGTTCTATGACCCCATAACCAAGAGGGCAGTTATGTTCCCCAAACAGCCTATGTCTCCCCCAGAACCTTCTGTATCCCCCTTCTGCAGTGCATGAGTTGGCATCTCTTCTAATGGACGTTGCATGCCTAGTGGAACGTGGTGTGGTGTGGATGTCGTGCTTTTTTCCTACGTCGTCAGTGTACTTTCAATGTAACATGTTCCCAAGCCGGGACTGCATGTTCCTTCTCCTCACATGCGGGGGATCTCTCCAGAGCTTCTGCTTGCCTCTGACCTACTTGGGAGATCAACCAAGATCCACGGTGTCCTTTTTCTTCAGCTTGTGAGTCATGTCTATGTGTTCTACCTCTTTGTCAGAAGGAGATCACTACTTTGTCATGTATCTCTATTAAAGCAACACATTTACCTGGAACTGGAACCTATCCAGTATCCTGGGCTATATAATTCCCCTAATTCCCCTCTCTTCATCTAGGAATGTTGTAGTTCTAGAAATCTGCAGGCCATGACCTCGGGGGAAGTTGGCCTTCAGATTATTTTCTGGGGAACCCTGGAGGAGCATGTTGAGAATTCATCAAGGCTTTCCTTAAGGAGATCAGGGATTAGCCAATGTGGTCATTAGGATTGTTCCTCTCAGAAACATTAGGTAAACCTTAGGACATCATCACAGCACCTACAAGGTAAGAGTAAGCCCCCAAAGACCCCTAACACTCAACAAGAACCACTATGCCCAAAGAGATCTGATTCCCAGTCCAGTGTTTCAAAGACAGGAAGTGTATGGGTAGCTGTTGACCTGGATGAGTCAGAAGCTAATGGGGTCAACCAGCAGCAAAGGATCAGAAGAGAAAGAAGCAAAGATGGGATGAAAACACGCTGGACATTTGCCCCAAAAGGGCAAAATGGGACAGGTGGAACATGAGATGCAGCACCATGGAGAGCTCCCCGTGAACCTCTCTTTCCCACAAGGTGAGGGACCAGATAGAATCCCCAAGGTCAAGGAGAGATGGTTCATAGGGACTGATGGACCAGCATGAGCTCTTCTGGGTTCCCTGAGACAATGCTGAGGCAGGTGGTTACTGCCACCTTCAAAATACCTTCTGAGCTTGGAGTTTCCTTTGATGCTCTTGCTCCGAGGCCTTGGCGGTGACCAAGAGATATGGCGCCAGGGCTTGAGATCCAAGCTTCCAACACATACATTGGTTAGTGACTCTGATTTGAGTCCAGAATCCTTTGTGCTACCCAAGAACTCCAGGAAGGAAGTCAAGGGCTTCCCAAACCTAGAAAATCTTCACTGTGAGCTGCTCAGATCACATCCCAGCATGTTGTCTTTGGAGATTCTCAGTCCTCCCGGTCACGGTTGTCCCAAAGGGGCTTTTTCAAAAGGCAACCGGATCTTGTTTTCCCTTAAAGACGTTCCACTTCTCATCCAAGAAGCTTCTTCAGTTCTGACTGAACGGTGGAGGGCGGAAGGATTTATATTCCTTGCGGTCATCATCTGGTCAGAATGGAGGAAGCTTCTTGGATGAGAAGCGAAATGTCTTTCAAGGAACAACAAGGCCAAGTTGCCGTTCGAAAAAGCCCCTTTGGGAAACTCAGTATATTCTTACTCGGTTCTCCTTCCCTGGGGAGCAGCCCTTCACTTTTTAGGGCTCCTTCCCCTCTTCACCCGGTGCTCAAGCAGAGCTCTCACAGCAGCTCTGCCTCTTAACCAGCCCCTCACCCACTCGACCCCTATCAAAATCCACCCCTTGCTGCCAGGATTAGCCCCGCTCGCCGCATTCTTCGGGAGCTGATGGACAGACTGTACCCAATTATCCTGAGAGCTCAAAGGCAGCCAGGCAGGAGAGAGGAAACGTTGCTTTGCGAGGCTTTTGAATGGCTTGCCTGGGAAACACACACAAACACACTTAAATGTCCTTTTTAGCCATGGAGGGAAGGGAGGGATTAATGGCCAAAGGGTTGCCAGTCAGTCGGCTCCCTTTTGATGTGATTAGTCCTGCTTGCAGATTCCGATCGGGCCGTTGTCTTGCATCAGCAAAATCCTTGGCAGTGTAACAGTCGGCTGGGAAGCATTAAAAGGGTCGAGGGGAGGAAGCAGAGGGTTGCAAATGAGTAGGTGGGCCCCTGGAGGAATTAGGAGGCTAACTCCAGCCCTTTTCTTCTCCCCTCCCCCCTTCTTCTAACAACCAACCGCCTGCATCTCCCAGAATCAAGTGGGGAAGATCGGACTCTCTCGGCCTGAGAATGACAGGCAGAATTCTGAATTTTTGTGAGGATTCCCGAAAGGGGTGAAGAAAGTCCTAAACGACACCACAATGCCAAGACCAACAAATCATCTAGACCAGCCAGCGGCCTCCCAACTTGGCAACTTCAAGACTTGTGGACTCTAACTCCCAGAATCCCCTGGCCAGTTGGGGAATTCTGGGAGTTGAAGTCCACAAGTCTTGAAGTTGCTAAGGTTGGACGCCTCTGATCTAAATGAAGCCTCCAGTACGAGATTTCTACTTTTTCATTCTTGTGCCAGGTTTCCTCAGTCGGATGCCCTGAGATGCTTTAGATTTCATCCCCCATAATCCTCGCTGCCTAGGAATTATGGGCACTGAACCCCAATGTCCCTGAAGAGCACCAGCTTGGGGAAAGCTGTGTGGTCCTCCTCACATTTGTTTTTTTTCCCCAGTAAATGTGTTTTTATTTTCCATTTTCANAGGGGACACCAGGCTGGGGGACGCTCCGCTGCTTCTGGCTAAGGCAGGAAGTCCCACCTGAGCAAGATTAACATCCTTCTGTGACGTCAGCTTAACCTCTTGACTTTCTGACCATCTCCTTTCCTAGGTGGGGAACCTCGGCCTGCTATTTATGCTCCTTTTTTTCATCTACGCTGCCCTGGGGGTGGAATTGTTTGGGAAGTTAGGTGAGTCATTTTCTGTTGCTTGGTGACCCTGTTAATATGCCTGCCAGACTATCTCTGCTGAAAGGGAGGAACGTAGCCAGATGTTCCCATGGCTTCCTTAAGGTGAGAGAACCCCCCAACCTTGCCATTGTCCAGCTCAACTAAGCTCCCACCACTGACCAGGCAAGGCGGGCAAAGGGGATGCCAGAATCTGGTGGGTACCTCCAGAGAAGCATGGGGAGGGTCCGAATGAATCCCAGGGGAGCCAATGAAGAGGGGAGGAGAAGGTGCTCTTCAGAAAACAGAACGTTGGGAGTCAGATGATGGGACGCCCAGCTACCTCCAAGCCATCATTTGACTTTCTCCAAGCTTGTAAGAGTGGACTCATCCCCTTGCTCTTTCGTAGACTGCAGTGAGGAAAATCCTTGTGAAGGCCTCAGTCGGCATGCAACCTTCAACAACTTCGGAATGGCCTTCCTCACCCTCTTTAGGGTGTCAACTGGGGACAACTGGAATGGGATCATGAAGGTAAGACCTCCACGTCACTTTCTGACCATGGCTGTACTTTAAGTTGACTTTAGACGTCGCCCTGAGAGGCAGTTTGGGGGGAACCATGGCATTCATCTCCAACAATGGAGGTAGAGAAGACTCAAGGCCACCTGGTTTCACCAGCTGTGTGTATTATTTGCCAAGAATGAACGTCAAGACCAAAATAGAGAAATGCCCAATTCTGAGGGAAAGTAAGGCTTTACACAAGGTAGAATTAATCTGTGGAAGTCCTGGTCTCCATTTAATGAGAGCCACCGGTCTGTATCCCTTGAAAAAGGAATGAGAAAACCCACAGGGGACATTCACCATGATGGCCATAAGTGCCTAGAGATGCCACCGAAGTTGCTATGAGTTTGGGGAAAGCTTTTCCATCCATTTCACCCATATTAGCTCCCAAAGACTGCTAGTTGGCCATTGCTGGGCAGATGGGTCTTTAGTTCCATTTACTGCTCAATGAAGCTCCATGTTTGCTCACCTCTAAATGCTGAATCTTTGGGAGGAAACGTAGGAAGGCATTAAGATTTCTTCTCAGTTGACCCGTCCTCCTGAAGTAAACCTTGCTCTCGTGTCTCTCTTCCAGGACACTCTCCGGGAATGCCACCGGGATGACAAGCACTGTCTCAGCTACCTTCCCCTCATCTCCCCTCTGTACTTCGTCACCTTCGTCCTCATCGCCCAGTTCGTCCTGGTCAACGTGGTGGTGGCTGTTCTGATGAAGCACTTGGAGGAAAGCAACAAGGAGGCGAAGGAAGATGCCGAGATGGACGCCGAAATCGAGCTGGAGATGTCCAGAGGGATCAGCACACCAGAAAGGACCATGGATGGGAGACAGACCCCTTCCAAGGGGGGTTCACCCCTGCTGGTGAAGCATCAAGTCATGGTAAATTGCCAGAGAAGGAGTCTGAAGGAACTTCCCTCCCCAGGCGTGGAAAAGAAGGGGGGTGGGCCTCTTTGGGGTCATATCTATGGGATCTTTCCCCATCCCTCCTCCTCGGACACCTGTTTGGCTTTACACAAGTCAAGCTGAAGAACTTTTCTGCACCTCCGCTCATCCAGAAACGCAGTTGGATGACCATCCTGCCATCAACGTATCTCAAAGCTGCCCGGAATTACCGGTTCCCAATTTCCCCAAAATCTCAACCTCCTTTCTTGCTGCCTTTCAGGGAGCTTCTGCTGCTGGTGGTGGCCTGAGGGACCCCCAGAACCTCCTGACTCTCCGCAAGATCTCGGTGGCAAGGATGCATTCGCTGCCCAATGACAGCTACATGTTCCGTCCTGTGATGCCTGCAAAGCCCCCTTTCCCACTCCATGAAGGGGAGTTAGAAGCCTTCTCCTACAGGTCACCTCGAGGTAAGGCACCAGGATCCGGGCCTGCTGAGTTTCCTGCCAAGCGGTTTAAGTTGCAGTGTGTACACAACTTCCAAAGGAAGAGCCGAGGTGGCACAGTGGTTAGAGTGCAGTACTGCAGGCCATTTCAGCTGACTGCTAAGCTGCAGTTCGGCGGTTCAAATCTCACCGGCTCAGGGTTGACTCAGCCTTCCATCCTTCCGAGGTGGGTGAAATGAGGANCTCCTCACATTTGAAAGAGAGTGGTGGCTCTTCGTAATCTATCGTTTCTCTGCTCCATCTCTTGTTTTAAGGGTTTGCTTTCATAAGATACCCCAATAATCCCACCCAAATCTTAGTTTTGGGACAGGCAGGGCCCCAGCCTTTTAAGACAAAGGTTTCATGATCTTGCGAACCTTCTCCTCGTGTCCAGGGACTCTGCAGCACAACAGAGTCCATCTCCATGTCTTGGTGGGCAGAGGAGGAGCCTCTGGGTGGCTTTGACTACAAAACCCACAATCCACGGAGCCGTGGACTGCATGCCCCTTGGACAAAACTCGCATGGTTTTGCGTGCCAGCATGGCTTGTGTTGGAGAAGGACGAGGAGACTGCCAGAAGCTGATGGGTCCCTGTTGGGTTTTTTCCTGCAGAAGCTCAGCGGCGTCCGTACTACGCCGATTATTCACCTGCCCGGAAATACATCCATTCGCTCTGCACCAGCCATTATCTGGACCTCTTCATCACTTTTATCATTGGGGTCAATGTCATCACGATGTCCATGGAGCACTTCGATCAACCCAAGGTAAAGGCAGCCTCTCTTGACTTCCCCCGTAGCCCTGGTGGTGCCCAGGACTGGCAGCCAGGAGCAGGCACGTGGTCCTGGGGGGGTCTGGAAGCCAAGGGTTGAGTGCCAGGAGCCGGTCCAGCTTCTTCAGAAGGCAGGCAGGCAGGAAAGTCCTGGATGGATCCTGGTGGAACTTCCACGATGAAGGTCAGGGCAGCTGATGCTTCGTCCAGAGGTCCCCTGAGATGCCTACATCTGCCAACTGCTGCAGGAGATCCCATACCTCCATTCCTTTTGCACAGACCCCAACAAGCAGCCCACCCACCCACCCCCTTCTGTGTTTCCTTGCAGTCTCTAGAAGAGGCCCTGAAATATTGCAACTACTTGTTCACCTTCGTCTTCGTGGTCGAAGCCATCTTGAAACTGGTGGCCTTTGGCTTCCGGAGGTTCTTCAAGGACAGGTTGGAGATGGGGTGGTGGTGGTGATGTCATTTGGGGAAGGGGTGGTGGTGGTATCGCCCCAATTACAGGCTGCTGAATGAGCTCGGCCCCCGGTGCCTCGCCCCCCCCCTCCCGCTCCTGCCTCCTGGTAGGTGGAACCAGCTGGATCTGGCCATCGTCCTGCTGTCCATCATGGGGATCACTCTGGAGGAGATCGAGATGAACGCCGCGCTCCCTATCAACCCCACCATTATCCGGATCATGAGGGTGCTGAGAATTGCTAGAGGTGAGGGGCTTCTCTGAGGGAGAGGGTCTTTCTGAGTATCCCAGGAGTAGTTGCCATTGGGAGGTAGGCTACGCCTGAACGGGGAGGCTCCATTGTTCACCGACGGCCCTTCCCTTTGCTTTCCAGTGCTGAAGCTGCTGAAAATGGCCACCGGGATGCGGGCGTTGCTGGACACAGTGGTTCAAGCCCTCCCACAGGTAAACCCAACAGCTGTGCAGATGTTAATCTTCCTTTCTCTTCTAAACATCACCCCCCTATTTTCAACTCCCAAGCCTCCAGCTTTCCAAAAATGTTAAATTTTGTCTCGCCCCAAGGGGAAAAAAATTACATGCCCAGAGGGATATATTGACACATTATTTCCCAACAGCACTGAGGACAACACTTCCAGCTGCTCAAAATGTTGTCCTCTTGTTTTTCCCCCTTTTAACTCAGCCCTTGAGATAAGGAACCAAAGCCTTTGAGTCCACAAGTTCTGAGGCCTTTTTTTTCAAAGCTGGCTTCCTTTTTTGCACTCACATCAACGAAAAACGAGGCAGGGTCTCCCCTCTGGGATGCCACGGAATAGGTGTTCTCGTGGCATGAAATGCCAGGGGGTCCCTTTGCACTCTGCCCATGCCTCTGGAGCAGAGGAGAGCCATCCCCAGAAAGTCTCCTAATGCTCTGAAACACCCCCACCCCACCCCACAGTGGGGAAGGAGGCAAAACCCACAGCCAGCGAGATGCTTTTCNAGTGGAGTCAAGGGCTGTAGAGCAGAGACAATGCAGGAGGAAGCCCAGAGTTCAGGACAGAGATCAAAGGAGAGGGAGAGATGCTTCCAGTGTGACCCCAGCCTGGGTCCTGGGTCTGGAAACGGCCCCTTGCCCTTCATTCCCATATGGCTCCTGTTGAGTCAGCAGACCCTCAACTGCTCTCTGACTCCTGAGGCAGCCAACTGCTGGATCGGGCCTCTCCGCCTCCAGCTCTTCCACATCCTGAGAGGCAATGCCGCCGTGATACTCTTGGTCTGTGCAGGTAGAAGCTGGCGTGCTCAGGGGGCCGAGGGTTGGACCGGCTGCTCCAGGCATCTGCAAGTGGCTTCAGAGAAGTCACTTCCATGCAAGGGGGGTTTCCCAGGGAAGGTCCCACTTTGACCCTAGATTCCCATGTTGATTCAAGGCTTCAGGGAGGAGACCCCCAGAGAGGACAGGACCCCAATTGTCTCGAAACATGGAGCCCTTCTTGGATGCGTAGGGCCTCCTTGGGTTGGACATGCTTACTGTTTTCAATCTCTTCGTTTTGCAGGAGGCCGTCCGGAAGGACTCCTTGGATAGCTCAGCGGTGGAGTCAAAGCCCTGCACCCAGGGAGAGATGCGTGAAAACCCACCCCTGAAAAAGTTGTCTCACAGTATTTTGGGGGCCCCTCAGCCACCCCCAGCCCCCACATCCCTCCCAGGCAGTCCTCCCCTTGCCCAGCCCTCCCCTCCATGCCCTTCAAGCATCCAGACCGCCAGGGACAACTTCAGCCAGCACAACATCTCAGAGAGGAGGTCCACCCACAGCAGCCTCCTGGACAGCTCCCTCTTCGAGTCCTCCGACTTGGCGGACGAAGAGGTCAGCCACATCAACAGCTCTGCCGGGGATTGGGGGGCGCAGCTGGAGAGCCGGGACTGCTCGGACTCCCCTTTCGTCTCCCCGGCGCCATCTCCTGTCCCCTTCAGGAATTGCAGCACAACCAGCTTGACCATGGGGAAGGGCAAGGAGAAGGACCTGAAGAAGTTCTACAGCGTGGACACCCGGGGGTTCTTGGCCAAGCCGACGTGGGCGGATGACCAGCGACGGCACTCCATCGAGATCTGCCCTTCGGTCGGCCATGGGGATCGCGGCTTCGCAGAGTCCTCTGAAAGGAGGAGGCTGCCTCTCCAGATGCAGTCGGAGTCCGAGTACCTGCATGGCATCCGGAGGAAGAAGAAAATGAGCCCTCCCTGCATCTCTATCGACCCTCCCATGGAGGAAGACAGCAGCGCCACCACGACGCGCAACAAAGCCTCTGAGAACAGCCTGCTGAGACGGAGGACGCCCTCCTGTGAATCCACGGCCTACAGGGACTCCTTGGAGCTGGCCGAGGGTCAGCCTGGAGAACTGGCCTGCAAGGCAGACCGCCGGGCACCCCCAGCCTGCCGAGGGGAACATTTAACCATCCCGAACTTCTCCTACAAGCCGACGGACCCTGGTTCCATGGGGGAAACCTGTAAACACCTCTCGGAGAGCAACCAATCTGCGGGGCCCTCTGTGGACTCCCCACCAGAGGGCCCAGAGCTGCCACAAACAGACCCCCCAGAGACTCAGGGTGACCCCTCTGAGGCAAACCAAGAAGGACTCGGAGGGGGCAAGAAATGTCCCCTCCCGCAACACGGACAGGTTCCAGGGACCCCAAGCAACACAGAAGAGGGTGTGGACGAGCCGGTATAGCTTCCATGGGGGTGATCTTTGGTGAACTTTAAGGGCTTTGCCACCACATGTGGCTTCGAAGAGGAGAACAGGTTGGAAAGCCACCCTCTCCACGGCTGATGCTGACCCCAAGACCCTCGGTTTCTCCTCACTGTGAAGGTCTGGTTAGTGTAGACACGGAACCGAAGTCCCAGAGAAGCTCCAGGTGTCCCGAGAGGTTGAGGGGTAACCGGAAGGAGCCCGATTTCCTTCCCGCCCAGCACAAGGAGAAGCTGTTCCAATGTTCCTTTTCCTCCCTCTTCCTCCCCTTCCCCCTCACCCAGCGTGGCCTCGGACCCCTCCAGGGGGGTCGCAGACCTTTCTTTTATCTTTTTTAAAGGCAACCCGGGGTTGGTTCAGAAAAACTCCTTTTTCCGAAAGGGCACCTTTTCTTATTGCACGAAAAGCGGTCGCGGGAAGCCCCCGTGAACAGGCAGAAAGCGAGTTGTATATTGTTCTGTATATCAGCAGTTACTATAAATAGAAAAACATGTATTTGAGATTTTTTTTAAAAGGGAAAAAAATGAAGAAATCACATACATCACAGGCAGACACATCGCGACAGACACACACACATCGCCAGAAAGGTCCACAAGGAAGCTCTCTGTCAGGGGCATGTTTTTGCAGAAAACCCACCCGTCAGGACGACCCCAGAGACATCGGCCAGAGGCGCTGAGCGCCCCCCACTCCACCTAGTTACACCACCGTGCACCAACCACCGTCCATTCTGAAGACCAGTGGATCCGCCCTTCGCGTCCATTTTCCCGTCCTTACGAGCCAAGGTCCCCCAAGTCGGCAACGTTAAGACCTGTGGACTTCAGTCCCCAGAGAGAGTTCCTCAGAAATGGGGGATTCTGGGAGTGGAAGTCCACAGTGTTTTAAAGTGGTCGAAAGAGGGAGACCCCTACCTTGTGGGGTGCCCTTAACCCTGCCAGTTCCAGCTGGATCAGGCGTCCCGTGGGAGGATGACTCGATCCGTTTTGTTTCGTCTCTGCATTCACGTCCAATCCTCAGCGGAGCAATGTCTTCGTAGGTTGGATGTGGAGGCCTCACCACCACATCCACTGCCGTCTTTTCGGTTTGGCCTCCGTCCCTTCATTTTCCTTCGCTGCTCACATCATGCCTTGCCAGCTTTCTTCTGGTCCTTCCTCCTCGTTCCACAAAAATGGGAAAAGAAAAGAAAAAAAACCAAAACCACTACTGAATTGTAGCCAGTGCAATAACAATTAAGTTATTAATTCTTCTTATGGGTAAAAGAATCTCTCTTTTTTATGGTGATGAATAATAATAATAATAATAATATTTTACATATACTCAAGCGATGTTGTATTTCCCCCCCTTTCCCTCCCGCCCCCCCCTCCTCTCTGTTTTCCTATGGAATTCAGGTGAAACGCTGCAATAATCCGAACTTTTAAAAGTGCACAACGAAAAGTAAAGAAGGAGATTTCCAAAGTCAGTAGGAAAAGAAAAAAAAAACCAAATAAATAGTAAACTATTTAAAAGTTTCAATTTTGTTTGCGGCATTCAGGGAATTATATCCTAAAGATCTCCAATCAGCAGAGGTTGGCTTGCTTGGGGCTTATTCTTTGTAGGCCACAGAATTCTGGAAAAACACACACACACACACACACACACACAACCCATTGCGTTCCAGCCCAAAAAGTAAACATTATGGGACAAGTAGAGAAAAACTCAATTTTTTTTTCATCTGGCATGGAGGAAAAGCAAATCTGGAAACGGTCCCCTGCTGGTACCCCTGAGATTTGTTTCTGGAGCTGATGTAAAATCCTGGGGTTGGGCTGGGGGCTTAAAGGGAGCTCTGTGGGTGGGACACCCAAATGCCAGGCCAATGGAGGAAATGGGAAGCAGCCTTCTGCCAGGGCCCGAGTGGGTTGGCCTGGCATCCCGCCGTCTCCAGTTCAGAAGGGCCCCTGGCAGTATCTCAGCGCAAACTCTGGGGGCTCTATGGATTCCCTTCTGATGGTGGGTGGACCCAGCATGGCAGGTTTAAACTGAGGTTGCTTCTCCCTCTGGAGTCTTGCCAAGTGGTGGACACAAGGTGAGCTCCTCAAAGCATCCGGGTGGTCCCGGGTTCAAGCAACAGAAGAAACACAGCTCCTTTCCCCGTCTGTGGGAAGGCTGGGTGGGCTGGTGCCAAGAAGCCATTTCAGTTCTTGCACGACCAGAGTGGGCCTCTTCCTTCTCCCAGGACACGTTCCCCAGAGGGAAGGAGGCCTTGCCAGATGTGTCTGTTCTGTTTTCCCCTGACAGGCCTTTTCTCCAGGATTAATGTGGGAAATGACCTCCCGGAGTTGGTCCTCCCTCGCGTGTGGATCCTCAGGGATCCGAGCCACATGGAGAGAAACCCGAGGAGGTCAAGGAAGCAAACCTCCGCCTGGTCACTTCTGACCCCGACCCCTTTCCCAAGGATTAAAAACCAAGGCACTCACACAAAACGGGGAAGTCAGGGGGCTTGGTTTTTTTTCAAACAACTCAAAAAAAGAAGTTCTCTTCAAATATAACTTGTTGTTTGTTTGGGCCAGTGGTATAAATACAGAGGAAGCAGGGGTTACATCAGCTGAAGCAAATAATCTCTTTTCCATACTTAATTGGGTACCATTAGGGCTTCTGAAGGTTTGCAGTGCAAGAGGGAGGGGGAGGGAAAGAAGGAAGGGAAGGGAAGGAAAGTAGGAAAGGGAGGGACAGGGATGGAGGGAAGGGAGGGAAGAGGAGGGAGGGGGAAGGGAATGGGAGGGAGGGAGGGAGGGGAGAAAAGAAGGGAAGGGATGAAGGGGAGGAAGAGAGGAAGGAAGTGCAAGAGGGAAACTTAAAAAATAGCAGCCATTATGATTTACTGTATCATAATGGCTGCTATTTACGGCTGTATCAGAAAGCCGTAAAAGCTTTCTGAAGTCAGATTTAATGGAGAATGTCAATTGAATTATTTATCCCCAAGAGCCTGTACAAATATTGAGGAAGATTATTAGCCTTTATGCCACTTCCAACATCTTCCAACGACGAGGGATTAAATATGATTTTTCACTGAATGAGGACAGCATCCACAATTGTCCAGGGACAGGAGGGGGGGGGTTTAAGCAAAGGAGGAATGCAGAGAGAGAGAATTTCAAGCCAATGAAATTAGAATTGTCCTCTCTAAGCATTAAGCAGCCCATTATTCCAGGTGAGGCAGATACCAATGACTCATCATTACAGTCCATGCAAAGATACGGCAGTTTTCTGCAACTCAGCCGTCTCTTACGATAACCACCAACTCCAGAAAGGAAATAAAGAAGTTAAGAACCTAAGCTGGATTGGATTCTGGGCCCATCTCCCTTCTTGTGTGTCCAAGGAAGCCCACCACTCCCTTGCCAGTGGCCTTCAAGAACGGTCTTCCCACCATCAAGGCTAAGAGTGGTTGATCCCCAAGACTTTCATGCATTAGTGCAACGTGTTTTTGAGCCAAGTTGGTGGCTGTCCCCACGGAGGACCACTTGCCCAACCAACCCCCCAAGGGAGCCCACTGGTCTCCCAGGAAGATGGCTTGACCAACCTGTTGACCAAGAAGTAGAGATCACCCTTCTCTTGATTGTTTAGGTCAAGGGTGGTCAACCCTGACCCAGGAAGACTCCAGATGTGACCGAAGGGCCAAGTGGCTGACCATCTCAATGGGGCCCCCCATTCTCAAGCGGAGTTCCAGAGTTCTGGCTGGCAGGATCGAGAGGGTTAATGGATTGTCCCTGAGAAGAGGCACCCACCTGTCAAACCACTTCCTTTGATGCTGGAGTGAGCCATTAATTAAGGCAGGAGGACAGGTACTCAAAGCGCCTTTCAGAACCAGCTGTGCCGAAGAGGGACAGAAATGCAGACGCCAACAAAGAGGCCTGTCCTTGCCTTCCCTTTTTTCCTCCCCGTTGAAAGAATTAGGATTTATATACTTTGCTTTCTTCCAGAGACGGCTTTGATTTATGCTTCTTCTACAAGACAACATTGCTGCACAAACAGGGAAATGAGAAATAGGAGGGAATCATGTTTTCAGCCTTGGCAAAAAAGAAACAACACTCAGCCATCACAAAGGGGCAAAGTGGGTGGAGGAGGGATCTGAAATGGGATTGCTGATTACAACCGAGAGATCTAAATCCCCAGGAAGGCTTCCTTTGAGGTTCCCCACCAAAGCTGACTCCGGTTTGCCACCAGAACGTCACTGCTGCACAAAAGCAATGGGGGTGGGGGCTGCAACGCCAGGAATCCCCCCCCCCCGCAAGCTAAGGATCGGATGCCCCTGTCCTTCTGATGGTGGAGCCAAAGGTCTGTTTCGGTAACCTGCGCTGCCCTCCAAGAGGCCAAAAGTCCTGTGTGGACTGAACACTAAGACAAATAGCTGAGCAGCCCTTGGCTGGGGCCTTAAGGGGGATACCATGAGGACAAAGCCCTCTCTATGGGCACACACGCTGTTGCAAGCTGCCCTCCTGGTTTCCAACACACACATGCGTGCTGCCCAGCTGGTCTTCACGGGTGCCGGAGCCCCAGAAAACAGCACCCAAAACAGCCCAAAAACAGGCATGAAAATGCCTGAAATGCCCCCCAAAACAGTCTGAAAATAGCCTGAAAATGGCCCCCAGAACAGCCCCAAAACGGGCATGTGCGTGCCGGCCAGCTGGTCTTTGGGTTTCCGGTGTGTGCATGCACACGCACACGTATGCACGGTTCGCCATCACTGACCTAAACTCTTATGCCCGCTTGGTGAAGTCAGGAATAATGGATGTCAAAGTTTTGCTGTCATTAGCAGAGCTGCTGTGACACCCACATCACTGTCCTTCTCAACCTTGGCCAATAATCCGAGGTGGCGCAGTGGTTAGGGTGCAGGCCACTTCAGCTGACTGTTATCTGCAGTTCAGCGGTTCTAATCTCACCGGCTCAGGGTTGACTCAGCCTTCCAT